CACACAGCGGTAGAGCCGCGCAAAACCAGTAGCTAGCTGCTGTCACGCGCGGCACACCGATGTTTGCCGCTACTCGCAGATTATTAGGGAGAGTAGGCGCGATGCGACCGGAACCGCGTCATAATGATGGCAGGCGACTACGTGAAGATATAGAGAAAATCAGCCCCGTCAATATAGAGAAAATCAGACCCGTCAATATAGAGAAAATCAGCCCCGTCAATATAGAGAAAATCAGCCCCGTAAATATAGAGAAAATCAGTCTTGTCAATATAGAGAAAACCAGCCCCGTCAATATAGAGAAAATCAGCCTGTAGAGTAGATGACGGGGCCTTTTTTCAGGCCCCGGGGTTTTCCCAGACGGTGAAGCCTGACAATGCTACATAATTAATAACACGACAGTAATGCATCGACCATGGCATATTATGAGTAGCAGTTCTATACATGAATAGCATATATATATATATATCAGATAAAGAATCTTGCTCTCATGTTTGTGCTTCCTCTGTTGAGAAAACACAATCTCTTGTGACAGGGACCACCCTCGTGCGAGTTGTTCAGTATGACGAACACAACATTGAGAGGTTGTCAGCCCACTCCATGTGCGAAACGTTTCACTGGCGTTTATTACCTCGGGGAACATATTATGTGTAGCACGAGCGCCGTCTTAAATATAGAAATAACGCGGTGCTATTGTGTAAAATGTGGGTCATCACCATTATCTAATCTAAACTACTGTAGACGAGAACTACTACTACTAGTTACCATAGCAGTGGCGGATCCAAGGGGGGGCGCAAAAAGCGAGCACCCCCCTATTTTTTGTCCCCCCCCCCCACTATTCGGCAAGCAAAGCGTGCACACCGGCGCCATCACGAAATCCGCATCCCCTAAAATGAAATCCTGGCTACGCGGTTGTGCCACCCCCCCCTCTCAAAATCCTGGATCCGCCACTGCATAGTGATGACACAAACGTGAAGTTGTGGTGTTTGTGGGGTGCCAGTGGGGTGTAGCGTAAGATGGACATTATTTTAATGTTAGCGTGAAAAACTATAATTTATTATAATTTACAGTCAGTCGCGATTTTTTTTTTCCTGGTGTGATGCATGATTAACTTATTTCATTTAGCGTTCCAGTAATCAGCGTGATCCTGTTTCTAACCCAAACCCCTCGTCTCATAGGATTACAGCTTAACCTTATCCCTAATCCTAACCTAATCATAAGTTTATAATAAAAACTCCAGGGTCAAGGAGAAAGACCGAATTGTATAGTGAGACACGATATACACGTTGCCTGTGAGAGAGCAGGGTTTCTTATTCACAGGAGGAACAGTGGCGCACCGCCGTTGTGAAAATGTTCCTGTATTTACTGGTAAGTATATCCTGTATAGGTACCTTAAATAAGTATATCAATACATCCTGTATTTGAATCCATCATGCACATTTTTTTTCCCAAACTGGCCATTACCTCCTTTGTCCAATTTTCGCTGAGAGGGTTTATGTCCCCCGGGTTACTGCCGGAACGTACCCTGAGTACAGTCCGGTATACCGGAACGTACCCTGGTACTATCTAATATGCCGGACCGTACCTCGCCTACTCCACTAACGAGTCTAGGGAGTCGCCTACGCCTACTCTCTAACCCGAACCCTAACCCTAATCCTAACCCTAACCATATCAAATTGTGACCAGGGACCGTACCCAGGGTACTTTCCGGCAGTACCCTGGGGGACATAGACCCTATGAAATAAGCGTCACAAATAAGCGAATCAGAAATAAGCGAAGTCAGAAATAAGCGATCACAACCACGCAATATTAGTGGAAACATGCGAAGCACGTAATATTACGTGCTGACACTAATAGTATGGCACTTATAATACGACACTAAAAATAATAAGATACTACTAACAAGACACTAAAAATAGTAAGAAATTTAACACATCAACCATAATAAGACATTCGAACTAGTAATAATCCTCATAAATAGTAAAAATAATATTTATAATATAACAATAAAATATAAAAAATATTAAATAACAGTAATAAATAGTAATAATAGTAATAATAATAATAATAGTAAAATAATAATATCTCTGACAATACAGGCTTCGTCTTTTCATGGGGCCGATCGGCCTAAGCCACCCGTAAACAGCCCTGCCTCCGGTGTCCACGGCGCTTTTTTTTTCCGGCCCCGTCGAATTTTGAGATTCCAAGTAATGGAAAACGTAAATCAGACCCGTCAATATAGAGAAAATCAGACCCGTCAATATAGAGAAAATCAGCCCCGTCAATATAGAGAGAAAATCAGCCCACGTAAATATAGAGAAAATCAGTCTTGTCAAATAGAGAAAACCAGCCCCGTCAATATAGGAGAAAATCAGGCCTGTAGAGTAGATGACGGGGCCTTATTTTCACGCGCCCCGGCGGTTTTCCCAGACGGTGAAGCCTGACAATGCCTGGATATAATTAATAAGCACGGCACAGTAATGCTATCGACCAATGTCATATTCATGAGTAGCAGGTTCTTACATGTAATAGCACATATCATATATAATCAGATGAAGAAATCTTGCTCTCATTGGTTTCTGCTTCCTCTGTGAGAAAAACACAAGATCTCTTGTGACAGCGCGAACCACCCTCATGCGAGGTTGTTCAGTATGACGACACAACATTCGATGAGCTGTGTCAGCCCACTCATGTGACCGACAACGTATTCACTGCGCGTTTATTACCTCGGAACATATTATGCGTAGCCACCGTGCGCCGTTCTTAAACTATAGAAATAACGAGTGCTATTGTGCTCAAAATGCTGGGTCATCACATTATCTAATCTAAACCCTACTAGTTAGACGAGAAACTGCTATACTATTACCTAGCTAGTGGCGGTATCCATAGGTTGGCCGCCAAAAGCCAGAGCCACCCCTATTTTTGTCCCCCCCCCCCTAATTCGGCAAGCAAATGCGGTGCACACCGGCGCCCATCACGAAATCCGCCATCCCGTAATGAACTCCTGGCATACGCGGTTGTGCCCCCCCCATCTCAAAATCCTGGTATCCGCCCACTGCAGTAGTGATGACACAAACGTGAAGTTGTCGGTGTTCTGTGGGGTGCCAGTGGGTGTAGCGCTAAGACATGAACATTATTTCAATGTTAGCTGAAAAACTTATAATTTATTATAATTTTACAGCTCAGTCGCTGATTTTTTTTTTCCTGGTGTGATGACCGATGATTAACTTATTTCATTTATGCGCTTCCATAATCAGCGGATCCTGTTTACTAACCAAACCCCTCGTCTCATAGGATTTACAGCTTAACCTTATCCCTATCCTAACCTAATTTCATAAGTTTATAATAAAAACTCCAGGCGCTCAAGTGAGAAAGACCGAATTGTATAGTGGACCACGATAATACACGTTAGCCTGTGAGAGAGCAGGGTTTCTTATTCACAGGAGAACAGTGTGCGCACCGCCGTTGTGAAAATGTTCCTGTTATTTACTGGTAAGTAATATCCTGCTATAGGTACCTAAAATAAGTATATCAACTACATCCTGTATTTGAAATTCCAATCATGCATTGTTTCCCAAATGGCATTCTCCTTGTTCCAATTTTCGCTGAGAGGGTTTATGCTCCCCCGGTTACTGCCGGAAACGTACCCTGGAGTACAGTCCGGATATACCGGAACGTTACCCTGGTACTATCTATATGCCGGACGTACCTCGGCCTACTCACTTTAACGAGTCTAGGGAGTCGCCTACGCCTACTTCCCTAACCATATAAAATAGTGACCAGGCGTACATCCCGGTATACCGGACCGCTTACCCAGGGCTACTGTCCCGCAGTACCCTGGGGGACATAGACCTTATGAGCCTAATTTTCACTCAGAAGAAACCCTGGAGAGACGTGCCATTCATTAATTAGCAAAACTAGCTTCTGACTAAAGGCCCGTCTCCACAAACGCGGCGCGGAACGCCACGGAAACGGCGTCGTTCACCCCTACCGGCAAAGTTTCCATAATCTATTATATCTTATGGCGCAGTCTTCCACTGACACGGCACGGCGCCACGCACGGTTCACCGGGGCGGGGGACGGCCGAAAGTCAAATGAGTTTGACTTTGCGGCTGAACGTGACACGAAAAGACATTGAACCATATCATACGC